GTGCTGTTTGTAGTTAAACAGTGTCGTGTTATTATTGGTTTGATATCACGGATGTTTTTCTTATATGATGTAAGCAATTTGATGTAAAAAGACCGTTTCAGAGAATTGACAAATATAAGAAGACAAAACGTACAATTTTATAAAGAAACGAACATTTTAATGAAGCCACTAGTACAATATAACAGTTCATGTTTTTATCAAAATACCGCCCTACTGTAGTAACGAAACATTAGGATCTTGTTGGAAACGAAGGTTATACACATATATATATAGATCTTTAAGAAATTCATTTAAAGTTATGTTTAGCACTATTTACACCTAATTGGTGCGTTTTAGAAGTCTTTTTTTGACACGTGCTTGAAAAGGACGATATATATATGTGTTTATGAGGCTAGGGTCGGTTACATATTACCTAGACACAAAATATTTGTGAGATTACAACCAAATATAGGCACTTTTTGATACCTGTTTTAAATAATGTATATATATATATATATATACTACCTTCGTGCTCCGGTTATAATAAAACACATCACTTATAATTGTGTTATAAGAAAAACATATCATTTATAATTGTGTTATAAGAAAAACATATTTAGAATTGTGTTATAAGAAAAACACATAATTTATAACTGTGTTATAAGAAAAACATATCATTTATAATTGTGTTATAAGAAAAACATATTTAGAATTGTGTTATAAGAAAAACACATAATTTATAACTGTGTTATAAGAAAAACACATCATTTATAACTGTGTTATAATAAAAAACATATAATTTATAACTGTGTTATAAGAAAAACATATCATTTATAATTGTGTTATAAGAAAAACACATAATTTATAACTGTGTTATAAGAAAAACACATAATTTATAACTGTGTTATAAGAAAAACATATCATTTATAACTGTGTTATAAGAAAAACATATAATTTATAACTGTGTTATAAGAAAAACACATAATTTATAATTGTGTTTGTTTTAAGTTTTAACACAAAACGTGTAAGGTTATTAAAACAATAGATGTTTCGACGATCTTAACTTGCGTGTTCTCAACGCTACCAGTTTGTATCATGGTCACAATCATTTCTGTTTTCACAATTAAGACGGAAAACAGGGATTTTAAAGTCCTAACAAACATTGAAAGGTATGTATTAATAAAAGCTTCATACGATAGACCAAGATACTACACCTGGAATGTGTGTATATATATATGTTCAAAAACTTTGATATTTGAACGGAATACTTTGGACATTAATAGTGTTTTAAAAAGTAAAGAAGAACATATATAGAAAGAAGTACTTGTCAACTTCAAACTAAACAAAATATTGTTATTTTGAAACACGTTTAACGCTAATATCCATAAGTAACATCAAAATCAAGCAAAATATTGTAAAAAAAAACATTTCATGTTCATGTTGCATCCGTAAATATGAGCAACATATCTTCATGTTATTTTGAAACAAACATTTAATTTTGTATCTTTAAGGCACGTGGCAATAAAACATGGAATTCCATTGAGCAATCTATGTTAACGTTATAGTAATTTACAATGTTTATTTAACATCAATATTTGTCCTAACCTTGACTAGGTAACCGTATTCACGAGTACGTAAAAAAAGGCACGTTTGGTATTTGGTGCTGAAACACTTTTCCTTACGTAACCAACAATTTAGGTGTAACATTGTTTTTTGATAAGCGTTGCTAGATTTGGGTTTTTACCTTAGGTTGCTCAGTTTTAGGACAAAGTCTATAAAAGATTCTTACCACACTTTTTTCTCGTAACAAGTTATTGACATAAAACGCAAATAAAAACTCTTAACAGAGAATTTCAAATTCAAGTTTCTGCTCTCGAGTTCACGTCTGCTGATGGAAAAGATGAAACGTCTTTTTATTATTAACACCTTATAATGGTGGGATACTTTCCCTGGTGTGTGGAAGAGTTAGGTATTCACCCAGTAAATACCCTAATGTTTTAAACGACTGGGCTTAAAAACACAAACATGATGTCTGGTGGATTCAGGTAAATATCTGTCTGGTTTCCTTCAAGGCTGCAATGACCCCACAGGGATCGTCCATAAAGTCCTGATAAGGAAGGCTTGAATACGTTGAAGAAGGAATTCGGTTGGAAGATATCTGGACATCTTGTCCGTAGTTAGTGTCGACAGAAGAAACTGGTTGAGAGGTGAAGATCGGGAGGTTTTCACAAGAGCTTTGGAAGTTGAAATCTGGATTAGGTCCATAGACTCCGGAAAAGTCCAATGGATATAATGTCGGCTCTTCAGAGCGACCTTCTGGATAACAAGGCGTTAAAGTATTATTTAACACCTGCTCTATACCCATCACACTCGAGTGGTTGCCGTCTTGTCGGGAGGGGTAATCATTGTTGGATAATAAGGGAAACCGCGCATGTTGGATCACTGGTGTGGAATCGTGTCTCTCTTCCATTAAAGAAGTCTCAAATGAGGAATACGAGCCTTGATTGAACGTGGAGAGGAAACCGGTTTCACGCCCCAGGGCACAGGATGGGCGATATATTGACGTCTTGTCTATTGGCGAAGACACGTCTCTTAGATGAGACGAATAAAGACCTTGCTGAGAATTTTTATTCCAGTTATAAGAGTTTCTCATTGTTAAGGCCGACAGGTTAGGACTAGGACCTATAATCCCAGCTTCTCTTTCTTCGTATATTCGCTTTCTAGAAAGTCTCTTACCTTCCGGAAATGTAGTGGAAGAATCATTCAATTTAACCGCACACTGACTTCCTGATATTCTCTGTTGTGGGTCTTCCTTGGTTGTTACCTGAACAAAAGGGTTTCTCTTCTCCAGTTCCTCCTTCAAATTGTAACGCAAAGCGAAATCTTCCATTTCGACCGGAGACATTTCAGGCGTTGGAAGAAAGCGAATAAAATCGAAGCCACCATTGCCTTTAGTGGATGAATCAGAGTAGACTCTTTGTCGCGAGATCTCGGACCTTGGACTTCCGTGAGGAGAAGACTCGGGAGTTTGGACACCGTTTATTTCACTAGGTCTGGAAAGATGGTAGAAAGGACGATGGTTTTGACAGCTTGACGCTTCTGGAGAGCGAGTTTTCTGAAGTGAAGAGATTGGCCCTTTTCTAGCTCCACGTTTGATATGCTGCTTCCTTCGACGTGGTCGATACTTATAGTCTGGGAAGTCGCGCATGTGCTGTACACGTATCCGTTCTGACTCTTCCACGTAAGGTCTTCTCTCTAGCGGCGTGAGGCCGCGCCATTTCTTCCCTGTACCGGTAAAAAATAATAACGATCGTTAACAAGCGTTTAATAGCAATGAGTGATACTAACATCGCATTGTTTAACTTTGTATCAGTCTGTTCAGATTAAGTTTTACAGAG